ACGTTTAATTAGCCATTTTAACATATTCACAGTCTGCCGTCTTTTGCATTCTGTGACAGCGCGCGAATCGCTGCTTTAGGCTTCGCCGCTCGCACTCTTGCATATCTCGAGGACTGTCACTCGTTTTCTTTGATTTTTGAACAAAAGAGAGGCTGCTCCCAGTTTACTGTTGGTAAAGCAGAAAGTAAAGATGTAATGCAATGACATCGATACACCTAGGCTTAAATGAAAAAAAGAATATTTCCCTGGGCTGTTCCTTGGGTAGTATTTCCTTAGCCCCAATCCATTGTATAAAAAGGACAATCCTTGACTTTGTTCCATAGCGAGCTGTTGCTTTTGTTTTTGCACACCGTTTAGGATAGTGTTCGCTGTCGTTATAAACGGTCTCGCACGATAAGCTCACGATAGTCACGTACTCTTTTTCAATGATCGCGATTAATAAGGTCACGCACATGAGAAGTGGTTGTACTTGCAAACCGCAGTGAAAACAGGAAATAAGGGATGTTCACTGATAGCTGGTATCACCAAATACTGATACGTGTACTTTTAAACTGTTTGCGATCAATAAGGTCACGCACTTAGTTTTAGTCATTTTTGTTGCAAACTAATAACGCGTTGTGGCTTTCATTTGTAAACCGCAGTGAAAACAAGACTTAACCCAATATAAAAGAAGATTTGATAGCGCTTGTTGATTGTTTTCTGTCCGGATAGTCGCTTTTTATTGTTCGTGACTTATCAATTACAAAGGTCACCTGAAACGTGAATATTGAGAGACAAACAACAAACTCTATCAGCGATAAACCCGAGTTGAATTATGGTGAAGCTTATCTTAGCTTAAGCTTATCTTTGCGAGGCCCTTTTTGGTGGAAATAGAGGCCGGGTTTTATTCACCACTGATCGGGCTCACTGTTTGGAAACAACACCCTCAATCTTAAAAAAGCCAGAAACCTCTCATCTCTCCAATCTCTCTCCTTTGCGAAAACCATCATTACCAGAAATTGACGACATTCTGCTTTATTAAACGAGATGTATTGTTCGTACATATTATAAGAGCTAATAAAGAAAAGAAGAAAATTTTCCGTTGTGAAAAAGAATCAAAGGGAGAAAAGGTGATTTGAAAAAAAACATGCTCTTTTCCCAGTTCGGAATCCTTAGTCTGTAGTTCGCAGTTCCCAGTCCAGATTTTCTTCCTAACTCAGCGGCCGAAAGGCCAGGTTACTCACCACAAATGGCGGCCGAAGTCATGATTGAGGTGAACGCTAGTTTCCATATCTCAAACCACTTTGACGACATTTGTTGACCAGAAACTAAGTCTCTGAGTCAAGAAACTTAGAAATTTCATGTAAGTGTAAGTGAAAAGGGAGAGGGCGGTTTGAGATATGGAAACGAGTGCTTACCCATGAATGAAAAGGGCATAAAAGCAGCTAGCAACGATTTGTAACGTACAAGCGGTGCTTTCTGGTCACAAGTTGGGCAAAAATTAGGATGCGATTTGTGCAATTTTCTATAAGATTTGGTCGAACCTGGGAAAACTTTGAGATGTGTATGTTTGTTCGCCTTGCAAGGAATCCGTTTCTTACGAGGTCTGCACCACGAAACCGACGTAAACTAGCTTTGCGAGAAGAAGGTAAGGTTCTCGTCTATTTTGTAGGAAAATGATGGAGTGAAGGATAGTTATGAAACAAATTTGACTGGTCGTGCATTGTTCCTTGTATTTATATCACAGGAAAAAATAACGGATTCCCATTTTTGGATATTTTAGGGTATTTAAAGAATATCCATAAAAATCCCAAATTTGGCAAAGTGAGACAAGTCCCAACCACGGAATTCCCAACCAAGTTCCCTGATTGGGACTTGTCTCACTCTTCCAAATTTGGGATTTTTGTGGGTATTCTTTAAATACCCTAAAATATCCATAAATGGGAATCCGTTATTTTTTTCCTGTGATAACGAATTTCGGATTGTTTCCTTTTTGCAACTCCCAGAGAGTCTGGGATGCCTGTGTTTAAAGATTAAAATCAGCCTGACCAACCTCGTTCTGAAGAACAGAACTAGTGACGGCCATTTTTGGAAACGTAGCTTTTTTCTTCAGCTCCTGCTACGTTAAGATTTTGGATTTTGGACAGTCTTCAAAGCTCTAATCAAGGTGAGTGGGCCTCGTAGTTGTTTCAATATTTATTATTGCAAATCGCCGTTAGTTCATTGTTCCACATTCTAGTGCAAAGACATGCTCGGAAGAAGTTCCTGGCATGGATGGCCCCATCGGCTTTTTGATAAAGATAGCTAATTATAAATTTGATAACTCATTATGACATAGCCCTACTCTATTAATGAATAATATCTTGCAGTTTTTAAAACATGAAAAGGATGAAGAGCAGAGAAGGCTGTTAGTTTACAAGTCATGAAAGTACAATCAGCTGATACCTTGTCCATGATTGCATGGTAAGCCAGCTATATACTAGCCCAATAAATTCTGAGTGAATAACTCCAGCGTGCAAAGAAGGTCATGTCTGACAGGCCCAGGGCTGGTGGATTTTGCTATTGGGCTAGTGAAGCATGTTGTAAACTTGCCTATCACAGTGGCGAATCCAGACCTTCAGATAAGGGGGAGGGGGGCAGTCATCCAGACCCTGAGATAAGGGGGGAGGGGGGGGACGGTCTCCAAAATAGATCCCTAAATCCGCCACTGTATCAGAAGAACTGTTGCTCATCAAAAGTTTTTTTGGGGCTAGTTAAAATGACTCGGGCTAGTACGTGTTAGATACAGCTGATGGGCATGCCATAAAACTAACTTTCTTTGCACCCTGAACTTCCATACTATCATGCCATGTCACCAGGTCTTAATGAACCAGTTTATTCTTAGATACATTTTAGAACAGTTTTTCCTGCAAAAATGGAAGCTTTGCTATGTTAGCCTGTGTACAGACGTTTCCTCTGAGGGAGAGGGGATGTCTGTACACAGGCTATGCTATGTCTATTAGCATGTTTGAGAATCTGTCCATTGGGAAGAAACAAGTGTCTGTTGTCCTTATTAACGGGTGTCTGTATTAAACGGATTGAACTTAAAGACAATGTATGGACTTTCCCCAGGGACAAAGAAAACTGTCCATAATAAGGAGGTGTCCTTAATAAGCGGCTGTCCATAAAGCGGGGTTTGACTGTAATCTTTTAACTTAGTGCCAAAATTGTGTTTAGTAAACATACTATGACACGAATTCATGGAAATTACATGCTTGCTCGGGTCATGGGCTCCTGGCTCCACTACGTTTATGTTGTAGTTAGTTTTTTGTCTCAGGCAATTTCTACTTTTCCTTTGTTTCAACTTCAGTAGCATAGATTACCATACCCAAAAACAAAAGAAAAACAAAAATTACCTGAGATAAAAAATTAACTACAACATTTACTTTGAGGTTCCCAAATAGTTCTTCAAACTGGTCTCTGCAATCAAAATTTTTGCTTTATCCCACAGTTATTATCATTATAATTTTACCGTGCTTCTTTGAAACAACATTTTCCCAACCGTCCAGTCCCATGTCTCACATCTCTCTTCTTTTCTCTCAAATCCCAAATTACATGAATAAAATTAGCCAATGAAACTAATAGGGACCCTCTGTCATGAGTTAAAGCTTGATGAGTGGCAGATTTTCATTTGACATTTCAGAGTAAGTGGAGATTTTTTTATGTTTTCTGTGCCAAAAGCAAGCAAAAAAAGCACTATGGCCTGTTAATAGAACCAGAAATGAGAAGTGAAGGACTTTGAGAAAGTCTTACAAGCGGCTATGTTTTGGGCATATTGCTGTTTTAGACCAATTCTTTTTTACAGTCAGTTACTTGGTGGTTTTTTTTTTGTAGTTACATGCAGTCACAGACTGCCTTTTATTTTACTTGGTGTTTTTACCCATACACAAAATGTTCAGTTTAAAAAAGATATTAAGAAGACATCAAACAGATTTCATCAGGAAGCACTGATCAAAAAAAATGTTTTCAATTTTTGCTGGCATAGCATTAAATTTGTATAATTATCACCTTCTCTATCAGTCTATATGTAATTACAATATAATTTTGTAATTCCTATTAAAAATTTAGTAACATCCGCAGTCTGTAAACCTGAAGAAGGCTGGTCTGGCCAGCAGAAATGCCTTTTGAAAAAGTTTTCAATACACTTTTTTATCAGCTTTGCAGTAGTTTTTGGACTTCTCGTTTATTTGTTCTCAATATTTCTAGCTGATTAGATCTGTTTGCTTGAGATCGACAACCTGCAGGAAATAAAACTTGAAAAAGTACACCCACTTTTTCAAGTTTCAATCCATTTCCATACTTGCCATGGCTTTCAACAGACCTTAGGAAAAAGTTTCAATGCTTAAAAATAGTCTTCAAAAGCAAAACTGGACCATTATTTTTGGATTCAATTGATGCGAAAACAAGTTTTACCGTTTTTAAAAAAATATTAGCAAATAGGGCGACATAGCCCCTTTCAGGTCCACGCTCCGCGCGGCCGGAGAACTCCGCCGTTTTAGGCTCGTCACGCTTTTCACCTGATTTTACATTGAATGGCCAGATTTGGTTGTTTTATGCTTAAAAGTGGATTTTTCTCAAAAAGCTTAGTAGAGGTCAAAAGATTCCCCGCGGTTTTTATCTTCACACGTGCGCACGATGATCTCTGTAAAAGTGAGAACAGGTCTTAGTGAAAAGGGGAACCTTAAATAGGTCTGATATTATAAAGGTCCAATGAAAATATTGTGAGCTCCAGCAGGAGCCACAGTTAGGAGTTTCTTTAAGAGAACAATTTCCTGTACAATGATGCTTTACCGTGGGCCAGAATTAACCGTATTTAGAGAATTTCTGAGAGATTGCGTGGCTGGCTTATGAAACAAATGCTTTGCGCGCGATTACTAATAGTTGATGACACATAGTCATGGTGGTATTAAATAATTGGTTATTGCTTTTTCTAATGTGGTGGCTCCTAAAAGAGCCGTTTGTTTGTAAAGAAGTGTCGCGCTTTACTTCTTCTTAGCTGGAGATTTTTTGGCGGCAGATTTCTTGGCGGACTTTTTGGCGGCAGGTTTCTTTGCGGGTGTCTTCTTCGCAGGTTTCTTGGCCGCCGGTTTCTTTGCTGCCGGCTTTTTCGCTGCCGATTTCTTGGGTTTTTTACTTGGTGTCTTCTTCGCTGGCTTCTTTTTAGCCGCTGCTTTCTTTGCTGCGGATTTTTTAGCCGCTGGTTTCTTTGCTGCCTTCTTTGCGGCGGGCTTCTTTGGCTTCGCTGGTTTCTTCTCCTTCTTTTCCGCCTTGGCGACCTTAAAGGAGCCAGATGCGCCAACACCTTTGGTGTGTATCAACTTTCCACTAGCAGCACCTCTCTTGAGAGCCATCTTCAAGTGTGAGCCGACCTCGCCAACCTTGTAGTTGGCTTTGATGTACTTCTCAATGGCTTGGCGAGAAGAACCATTTCGCTCTTTTAGAGCGACAATGGCAGCCTTGATCATATCAATGTATGGTGGATGCTCAGCTGGCTTTTTAGGCGCAGCTGGCTTCTTTTTAGCTGGTGACTTTGCTTCAGACATAACGAAGAAGTTCGTACGATACCCACGGAAACGTAAGAATTGAAGAGTCGAAGGTCGCACAGTGATGTATATGAGTTCTATGCGGACCACTGAGGAGACAGAGATCGAACATGGCGAACGATGCTTCTGTGCTAGTTAACCAAAAATATCGTCGAATAAAGTGATGTAACACCGTATTTTATTCATTTTAAAGTTTAAAAACTAAAATTCAATTTACAAAAAAAATGATCGCCAGAAGTATTTGCGAATTGAGGCATTTAAAGGAAGAGATGTATAGCTTTTTATTCTTTAACTCCAGAGAATCTTGTAGCTATTTGATCTTTTAAGTCCTTTATCTTTTGCACTCGCTACTTCCTTTCTCTTTAGAGATATTTAGAAGATGATACAACTCCTGTACTTCCACCATATGTCCTTAATTTCTACAATTTGGTTTATTTAGTATGGTTTAAATTCTCTTTTGTCAAGACAACAAGGACAAACTCCTTGGCTTCTATCCGCAAAATCGAGATGACCGTACTCTGCAGATGAACATCAACTGACACGGTCACTCAATCAGTTCCAAATGAACAACGGCTCATTTTTTTTCCTTTCCTAGTAGGATGGTAAATATAAAACTTGTGATTTCAGTCTGGCAAATAAGGCAGTACATTTAGCAGGAGCTGAATTTAACTTTCCAAAGCTTTCGAAATGTCACCCACCAACTCAATTTTCCAAACGCTCTTCGACCTGCGCTGTAAGGGTTTTATTGGCGTGTTTCTCTGCTTCCTTTTCTTATGCGATACTAAATCAGCTAAATGAAAATAGCTGTTAATACACCTCAAAGCAAAAAAAAAAGTAAACTGAAAAAGTTCTGTCGAGCACAGTCAGTCACAGGAGTGTGATTTGCATAAACTTTGCGCCAAATGTATCTCCTCAAATTTCGACCTCGCTAATAAAGTCTTTCTACTGATAGAACAGTTTTCCCTGATTTTTAATCGAAATTTAAGTCCTTTACACTTTTTTCTTATAATTTTTTCTTCTTTCTGTCGAGTACCTTTGTAACTTGATAGAGCGCGCGTCGCCGCGAGTAATGACAGTAGAAATTTGCATACAGTTTCCGCCAAAATGTACTCCCACGAAGTGTCTCACGGCAAGGCTTGCCGTGCTATACGGCAGTAGCACGACCTGGTTTCAAACGTTGCGCTACTGCCGTGCTAAAGTCGAATTTCATTCGATCAATTGAGTTCGGCACGGCTGTAGCACGACGTTTGAAACGGGCCTTACAGTCCTTTAAAACTTGAACTCTTACCTTCAAAGTTTCCTCTATTAAACCCAAAGAGTGAAGAAAATCTATCTCTTTTTCGTTGTTGTGGCCACTTCATGAAAAAGAAGGAAAAGCTTTGTGTAATGGAAAAACTCTGTGTACGACTCCGAGTGAATTACGTTCGTTTCGCTAACGTCCGTAAGTCGTTTCGCTATGAACAAAATTTTCTCTTTGGCAGAAATAAGCCAGCGGAAGGAAGATTATTTCTCAGGAAAAAAAAATCATAACGTCTTGCACGAATTTTTATGCCGAGAACTGAACTCAGTTCCTTGTTGTTAAATACTTTCTCCTCTGGATTTCGAGTAATCTACTGTGATGTTTCAACGTTTTTAGTTTGAAATAAGAAACACCAGGTTTCGTTTGGCCTAACACGTTAGCGAAACCGGACCGGTCACCATTTCGCTCTCCGGCCTTATAGGTTGTATTCAGTGTATTAACCTTTTCTTTGACCGACAGCGTCAGGCCTGAAGTTCCTGTATCCTTTCTAATTTGTGACCAAGTCCCAAGAACACATGAATGTGAAGAAGATTAATAAAAAGAGCTCTAGGCAATGTAAAATTAAGAATGAATTCTTGCCTTGTGTGTGTGGTTGTTTTTAAAGAGATACGAAGTATGGTTGATTACAAAATGTTTGGCTGTCGGTTATTGCTTTTATTGATGTGGTGGCTCCTAAAAGAGCCGTTTGTTTTGTGGTGCAAGCAAATCACTTATGCTCGCTCTCCGCGGATTCGGCGGGCCAACTGAATGTCCTTGGGCATAATGGTGACACGCTTGGCATGGATGGCGCACAAGTTGGTGTCTTCAAAGAGACCAACGAGGTAAGCTTCGCTAGCTTCTTGAAGAGCCATGACAGCAGAGCTCTGGAAACGCAGATCGGTCTTGAAATCTTGAGCGATTTCTCGCACAAGACGCTGGAATGGCAGCTTGCGAATGAGCAGCTCTGTCGATTTCTGGTAACGACGGATCTCACGAAGAGCGACTGTACCAGGCCTGTAACGATGAGGTTTCTTGACTCCACCAGTGGCGGGCGCGCTCTTACGAGCTGCCTTTGTGGCGAGCTGTTTTCGTGGAGCTTTTCCACCAGTTGATTTACGAGCAGTTTGCTTTGTACGTGCCATCTTTAATTCTAACCGAAAAGTAACGGATATGATGTGCAACAAATATGAACTCAATATTTTTATACTTAGCGGGCTTCTTTCCGATTGGTCAAAAACTATGCGATTTCATTGGACAATCAAGACTACTAGCAAAGTATTGTCATTTATCTGTAATGCTGTGTTTCGATCCTTAGATACTTACCAGTATTTTGGATTAATGGAAATTGTAAATGCAAAGTTTTCGTCCTAAATAATTTGAAAGTATCATAGTGAAAGCAGTCAAAGAATTCATGGCTGGTTTTTGAGCGATACCGACTATTATTTTCTCTTTTAACCTGTTCGCACATCTCTTGCGAAGCAAAAGTATGGTAATAATTACCTTGACCTCGTGGCTCTTTTGTCCGAACTAACCAATAGAGAACCACCTCTTATTATCTCTTCTGGCTTGTTTTCAGTGAGGTCCTTCTTTGCGGTATAAATGCTGTGAGATTCGTTTACCACTTTATTACTCAGTTTTCTACACAGCTAACAACATGTCTGGTCGAGGAAAAGGAGGCAAAGGCCTAGGAAAAGGAGGCGCCAAGCGTCACCGAAAGATCCTTCGTGACAACATCCAAGGCATCACAAAGCCAGCTATCCGTCGTCTTGCTCGCCGTGGCGGTGTTAAGCGAATCTCTGGCCTGATCTACGAAGAGACTCGTGGTGTTCTCAAAGTTTTCCTTGAGAATGTGATCCGTGATGCTGTGACCTACACCGAGCACGCCAAGCGCAAGACTGTGACCGCCATGGATGTGGTGTANTGGTCAAAAACTATGCGATTTCATTGGACAATCAAGACTACTAGCAAAGTATTGTCATTTATCTGTAATGCTGTGTTTCGATCCTTAGATACTTACCAGTATTTTGGATTAATGGAAATTGTAAATGCAAAGTTTTCGTCCTAAATAATTTGAAAGTATCATAGTGAAAGCAGTCAAAGAATTCATGGCTGGTTTTTGAGCGATACCGACTATTATTTTCTCTTTTAACCTGTTCGCACATCTCTTGCGAAGCAAAAGTATGGTAATAATTACCTTGACCTCGTGGCTCTTTTGTCCGAACTAACCAATAGAGAACCACCTCTTATTATCTCTTCTGGCTTGTTTTCAGTGAGGTCCTTCTTTGCGGTATAAATGCTGTGAGATTCGTTTACCACTTTATTACTCAGTTTTCTACACAGCTAACAACATGTCTGGTCGAGGAAAAGGAGGCAAAGGCCTAGGAAAAGGAGGCGCCAAGCGTCACCGAAAGATCCTTCGTGACAACATCCAAGGCATCACAAAGCCAGCTATCCGTCGTCTTGCTCGCCGTGGCGGTGTTAAGCGAATCTCTGGCCTGATCTACGAAGAGACTCGTGGTGTTCTCAAAGTTTTCCTTGAGAATGTGATCCGTGATGCTGTGACCTACACCGAGCACGCCAAGCGCAAGACTGTGACCGCCATGGATGTGGTGTACGCACTCAAACGCCAGGGACGTACTCTGTACGGATTTGGCGGTTAGATCTTCACGCTACACGTACTATAAAACCAACGGCTCTTTTAGGAGCCACCACATCTTTAAAAGTCATTGCCAATAAAGTTTACTCGTACTAATAGATAAATTCCTACTTATTGTAGAAGAATACATAGAAATAGGTTTGCAGTGGTGATGGCTAACTGTGGCTTAAGCTCTATTGATATCTAGTTTCTGAGATCATAAATGGCTGCACTGGGATATAAATAAGCTAACATATCAGAATTTGGAAAGCTTTTTGTTTGAGGAATGGACTGAAAATATTCGCGCGGTTTAAACGGTAAACTAATTTTTTTGAAATTTGCATTTGGAGGCATGCAGTGATAGGATTTGTAATAAATAATTCTTCTGAAAAACATTCACCATAAGATTTATAGCTGATTTTCACCTGACCAGAGCTCGTTTACTTTCTTCGTACCCCTCTCACGGTATTTTGTTTAATTTTAAAAGTCGGGTTCCGAGTCCGGTCATGTCTGGTGGCTTTCTTGTAGTTTATCTTCGCATCAATAAGTGCCTTGTTTGCCGCCAGCGATATAAAAATATGCACAACCTTCGTGCTTAAAGGTAGGATTGTTAAAAGTATACTTAATTCGTAAGTTTTTCTTATATTACGTTTTTTTCTTTGTAATTTTTATCAATTTCTTTTCGATGCAAAAGCGTTAGGTAAGTGAGTAGAAGAGGATTCCAACACCCATGAGAGGGCTTACTGTAAAGATACTAATAATAAAGTGACTCTTTTGATCGTGACTTTCATCATATTTGGTGGCTCCTAAAAGAGCCGTTTGTTTTTGACGTGGGAAGGATGTGTTTAAGCCTTTGGCTTCTTCTCGGTCTTCTTGGGCAGAAGAACAGCCTGGATGTTGGGCAGAACACCTCCTTGTGCGATGGTGACGCCGGCGAGCAGTTTGTTCAACTCTTCGTCGTTGCGGACTGCAAGCTGAAGGTGACGGGGAATGATTCTGGTCTTCTTGTTGTCACGAGCAGCGTTGCCCGCCAACTCGAGGATCTCAGCGCTCAAATACTCGAGCACTGCAGCCAAGTAGACTGGGGCACCAGCGCCAACACGCTCAGCATAGTTGCCTTTGCGAAGAAGACGGTGGATTCGACCAACAGGGAACTGAAGCCCTGCTCGGGATGATCGGCTCTTGGACTTGGTGCCCTTTGCCTTTCCTTTACCGCGACCTGACATG